ATTGCATTTAAAATGATTGCTTAGTAAATGTATAAGGGGAATCAATGCGCAGGCGAGCACATCGACGGAGGACGAACGGGTTTCGAGTTTCAACATAATAATATGAACACTCCTATAGGTCGCACTAAAATTAGTAATTGTTTTTCTTGCTCACAAAAGTTTTTTTTTCAAAAACGATTTTTGCCCCTCAAAGAGCTTCAGGGTATGCAGCTGCATACCCTGCATACCCCCTGCGCACGCCTATGGTAATTAGTTTATTATACTTATTGTATGTTTATATACACTTTATGCAAGTATGTTTCTTAATAATTATGGTTATTTAATAATAAAAAAATTGTTTTATAAAAGTCGATCCCCAAAGGTGAAGTATTCAAGTATATTTTAGTAAATCGTGACCAAAAAATATGTTGCCACCCCTGTCGTATGGGTTTATTATTCTCTCAAATACAAGAATGTTGTGCATCCCCTTCTGAAACACAGTCGGAGGCCGGTGGCACGGCAGATGTTCGGACAGTTGTCTCTCTAGAGGAATTTCGAACATTGACTGTATGCTCCCTTCAAAAACCGGTTTAGCAGAGTTGTTAGCCTTGAATTTATATAGTTGCTTCTCTGCCGCTGTACATATAATACAATTGTGTAGTCCGCTACATGAAAATATTATAACACAGATTATACTCACCACTCAGAAAAATATAAAATATATCCAATACAATTATTAGAATATTAACATGTTAAATTATTATTATTAATTTCAAGCTTGGAAGTATTCGGAAAAAAATGTTAGGCTTGGAATTTTACAAAATATCTCGTTGGTATACTATAAATTTGATTTATTTACTGTATACCTTTATACCGTTAACTCTAAAAACCAATAATCACATTTTTATTTAATGATTCAGAAAAAATAAAATATTCTTTTATAAAAATATGCTTGTGCTTCTTATATTCACGACCGTGGCGCTGGATTATTGGAACTGTGAAACGAAAACTACGATATTTTTTTATATTTTACAATAAAGTTATCGGTGACCATTATTATACCCATTTTAATAACTATCATAATAAATAATGTTATTCGATTACATTTTACTGATGCGTATGCGCTTTTAGGCGTCGTTTAAGTACGAACAGCAGGACACTATCCTATCCAGCGCGACGGTAGTGACACGATAAGTAGAAGAATTCAGACATGTGCATAGTGAATGTGTACCCTTGTCAAGCGGTGGCGACCATACGATTGTAATGTAATTCTCCAGACATTATTGTACAATAATAATATACAGTAAATAAGCATATCCGACCAGACGACGCCAAAACCATTAACGATTTACCCAGGAAATTATTGTCGTTCTTTTTTTTTCGGATCATTTGACACAGTCGAAATGTGTAGGTACCTGCGATTAACGTACCAGTGGGCTGAGGATACTTTTTCTTTTTAATGCGTCAACTGACGTCTAATAGGTATAGGTTATAGGTTATAATTAAATAGAATACATTGGAAACAGTGCTGTTTGCCCACAGTAAGCAGTTGCCCATAAAACCGAAATTAGTTCAAAAAAAAAATTATGATATCAAAAAAATTTCTATTTTGGACTTGTAAATCATATAATTGAAAAAAATTTTAAATTGCGACCTATATAACTAAATATAACATACAAGATAAAATAACGCATCATTTTTCAGCGATTTTATGTTATCAAGTGCCTGGTGGAAGCGATTTAACATTGATTTAACTTTAATTTTTTCCTCGGGGGAGTAAGAAATGTTGTCTATCGCTTTATTTTTATCGCTTCTGATAACACTTAAACGTTAAACACATACATTTAGTCAACAAAATCCCATTAAGAGGACGCTACACCCGCATGTGTTGTCTCCGTCTTACAAACGCGTAACATAGCAAATTACGTCCACGGAAAACAAACGAATCGGCATCAAAAAGTGGTTTTAGAGTAAAAATACCTATAATAAAACTTAAAGAGAACAATATTTTGGAGGGAACCTCATCGGCGTTTTTAAAAATATTAACTATTAAAAAAGTTGTGGTTATTTAAAAAAAAGAGTTTTTGTGCCTTCAATATCTAGCTGTGTATTTAGATTAATACAAAACCCCGATGAGGTTCCCTCCGAAATATTGTTCTCTTTAAGTTTTATTATAGGTATTTTTACTCTAAAACCACTTTTTGATGCCGATTCGTTTGTTTTCCGTGGACGTAATTTGCTATGTTACGCGTTTGTAAGACGGAGACAACACATGCGGGTGTGGCGTCCTCTTAAGGTTTTAAGTATGTAATGTTTTTTATTACTTTTGATCAACGCAATCTTATAGAACCTATTAAATCCGATAAATTAGTTGTTTTTAAATACACATGTGTATATTCTAATACGCTATGATAAAATAAAAATTGCCCACATAAACCGAACTGAGTGCCCATATTAATATATAGTTTGTAAATGTCAATACTGTTATTACACCTATATTACGTTCTGTGAGTATTTATCCGATATCTACTATGGAAAACACTCCAATAATGTAAAGTTGTTTAAACTTTAGTAAATAATATCTTCAAGCATCGTTTTCTGGATTATAATGTAGATTAGATAACTAATGAAGGATTTAATACTTCAATTAAAATACTAATTTTGGAGAAGCTAAGCCCCTTTAGGCTTTAAGTCACACTCAAATTGTGCCAATGTGTATACCTACAACTGTGGTTATTATTTCGTATAAGTATAACTCGGACCACCGAGAGACCGCTACTATGGGCGGTGCCCAAAACTCGTCCGATCTCCCGCATCTGCCAGTAGGTACGCTGGCTGCCGTCAACTCTGGCTGCCGCCACCGTCGTTGCTACAACTATAGGGTAGAGTGAGAGAAATTTGGGTACGAAAACGTGGATCTCGATAACGAGGAAAATAACGCGTTAGTGGGTTACTTCATAGAAATTACTTTTAAAAAGTAATTTAATTACAATTGCGTTACTTTAAGTAAAATGTAATAAAACTACTGCTGCATTACTGAAAAAGTAATTGCGTTACAGTCATCTGTAATTTGCGTTACGTTACTACAAAACACTGGTAACCTGCATATTGTATATTATACCTTAAATCGTGATATCGACTAAGATTTAAGGCGGGTTTCCACTATACACGTTTTCCGCGTACACGAAAAATGTTCAGCTATGTCCAACAACACGGTATCGTGGTTAACCGTGTGGTAACTGATCGTAAACAACCAATCCAACAAATGATTTGTATGCACGTACTCGCATCCGTGGATGCCCGTGGAAACCCGCCTTTAGAGTACAGACTAGGTATCCGCATCCCCTGTTCTGTTGCGCCTCCCATATGACTATAGTTCGGTGTCGCAGACGGGATCATAGAACAGTAGGTTAGGGGATAGGGGTACTTTCCCGAAATTTCATGGCGAGGAAAAAAAAAAAAAAACAAACCCCACCACAACCACAAAAATCAACATGGCGTAGCCGTCGGATCAGCTCGTGGATCATCGACTCGGTTCTACGCCGCTACCACCTAAGTCACAGCTGCCGCCGTCGATCGACGATCATTTTGCGTTACCATGTCCGACTGTGAGGTCTTGTGTATGTTGTGAGACGTCTTACACATAGACAAGCACTCACAGTCACTAGCGCCGTACATCGATAATTGCACCGTCTGCCCTGCTGCTCTTCTGTTGCTACACGCCGGCTGCTTGTCACCGTCCGAAAGCGACGCTACCACGTTCAAGGTAATATGATTTGTCCGAATATAATAATTATTTTTACGTCTGCATATCAGCATTCTGGGGTCCGACTGGTCCGAGCCGTCTGACGACGACTTTTCTCGAAAAGCTAGAGATCGATATTGAGTTTTATAGTACCCTTATGAACAATAATATCGCATATTTCGGGGAGGGTAAACCACGTGATACATTTAGATATTATGTCATTATTTATCAATACCTATTATAATTGTTATTCAAATGTTTATGACGACGTTATGACCAGTGGCGTATTTTCAATTTTTTGTGTGGGGGTGGTCTAAAAAATAAGTGAGTGTATAATATTATAAATATACATATATATGAGTAGAGTTCGGGACTAATTGTTGCACAAAAATGATCGAAATAATATGCAGTTTTAAATATATGCACTATGCAGCTACATTAGGTACCTATCCGTGTGTTAATCTCGTATGACCGATACCCACGTGGTTTAGTGTTGTTTCTTCTTTCCTTTTTAGCGAGCTGTTAATCTATCGGTCGGTGGAACTTTTAATAGGTAGCGTTTAGTTTGGTGGTTACTTAGACATCTGATTTACAGGATTAATTCCAGTATTCTAAGAATAGACTATTTCGGTGGTTCCAGTTATTATCAAATAATTGACTTGCTAAGCACTGTGCGAGATGTCCCCCCCCAACTAGCTATATAGTAGAGCGGCTGTATACAATGTACCCGGCGACCTGTGGCAGTATATATTTTTAATGCTTTGGCTGGCGTTTTGCGCATGCGCCGTTCACATGGATTTAAACCACGGACTAAGATATCTTAGTCCGTGATTTAAACTCAAACGGCAAGGTTGTTATAGCTTGTTGCATACATTACACTATTTATTTTAATTGTTTCTACACTGACTATACAAACCGTAGATACAAACATCAAACTTTTAGGCATTAGGCATAGGTGTAGCCGATGCAGGTTTAAGATTTTGCTTAGCAAAGCGGTATTCAGGGGTAAAACTTTTACAAAGTTAAACACTGTTTATAAGTCATATTTTTATATTTTGTCATACTTTATGTTGCACAACTTAAAATTTACAACAATTTTAATATATTAAAAGTGCCATTAAACTAAGTTACTATTTCGCATTTTATCGAACATTTTACCATTTCTATATTTTATTACCTATATGTATAATATTATTTATGAAGAATGAGTATTCATGTTTTAATTTAAGACAATTGTTTTAAGTTCAACAGGTTTTCATAAGCTGCTGGAGATACTATGGCGATCACAAAAATATGCTGTATAGGCGCTGGATATGTTGGTGGGCCCACATGCAGTATAATAGCAATGCAGTGTCCACACATAAAAGTCACGGTTTTAGACAAAAGTGTTCATCGTATTTCCCAGTGGAACTCGGAAAAATTACCCATCTACGAAGTGATTTTATAAAAATTTAAATCATATTTTACATTTTTTATATTTATACAATTATATACTCAACATATAATTTAATCTTTAGGCAGGACTCGACGAAATTGTAAAAAAACGAATAAATGTAAAGTTGTTCTTTTCTACAAACATCGAAGAAGCTATCCAAGAAGCAGATTTAATTTTCATTTCTGTTAATACCCCTACAAAGACATCTGGAGAAGGCAAAGTAAGTATCATCTACATTTACCTGCTAAAACAATATGATTAGGTGTATAATACCCTGCTTTTTATTGTATAATAATTATACCAGATGTGACACGTCATTAAGTAGGTCACTGCAATGGGTTTGTATACATTTGAGTTCAATGATTTGAAAACGATTCTTATAACGGGCGGGACAAATGATATTATGAGGATATTTTATAAGGGCGTAACACGATTGTATACTTTTTACCATTTTACCTGAAAAAAGCACAACATTATTGCGCACTTTTTACCTTTTTATATTTGAGAAAACCTAAAAGATTACACAAAACAGATATTTTGTATTGTTGGAATTAAAGAAATTAACAATAACAATTGTCCTATAATATATTTAAAGATTTACTTACAATACTAAAACTTAGTAATTAGTATATAATATAATATTTACATGAAACAAAAAACAAATTATAATAGAAATTAAGTTTCTTCATAAAATTCGAAAAAATTCCCAACATTAATAACAACATTCGACGAAGATGCTATTTTTTTCCTAATGATCAATATAAAATACCTATGGTTCTTTATTATTGTCATTATTTACAGTATCTATACGACTAGAGATCTCATTCTTATTCATAATTAAAATGGATCTTTATCTCTTAAAACCCATAAATTGTTTGATCTCATTAAAATATTTATAAAAAATATGAATAATTGTAGGTATCTCATTTAATTGAACTTATGTTTAATAGTTATATTATACCTAATACATAACGTATTAACTTGTATAACTGCGTGCTTTCTATACACAAATCACAAATATAAATTAAATCATAATTATTAATTAATTATTAGACAACAAATAAAATGAATTGTTAATAATTTTGAACATGTATTTTCAAAACTATGATGTGAATTTATTTTTAAATAAATTGAACAGGATGTTGTAATAAAATACCTAGGTTTCATTAAATTGTTTGTTGGGTCATTTATAATATTATGATATTATTGGTACATAATTTAATGTTTATTAAATTAAATCACTGATCTTAGGTGGAACCAGAGCAGATAAAAAATGATCTCATTGATTATCCTTACGTTATTGATACTTCAGAAAACGTAATAAGGTCTATTAAAATTCACAACAATCCATACTTAGCTGCAGACATGACACAGGCTATTGTAATATGCACTGGATGGGACGAATTTGTGGTAATTTCTTATGAAATAATTATTTTATTTACAACCAACTGATCTAATTAGTTTCACATATATTTAAAGTTAAAAAGTATAATATTTAGAAATTTACTCGATTTAATGATAATGTTATCATACAAAATATAAACCATTTTATTTTATATTAATTTTTTTTATCCATTTATATAGGATATTTACCTATTTCATTAAATTATATTTGCATATATTGTACATATAATCATACATCCGTTTTAAAATTAGTATTAAATATTTATAATTCACGTAATTGATTCTTTCTGACTATTGATCCTAACTTGAAGAAAAGTACTTAATTTCTAATGGTTTAGTGAAAAATACTCTTTTATTTCCAGTGAAAAATATTATAATAAATGGTCTACTTCTTTACTCTACTAATAGTTTTTTGTAATCAGCCAATTACCATTGTTATGTTCTAGAACTTGGATTATGAAGTTATGTACGATCGTATGATGAAGCCAGCATTTATTTTTGATGGTTGCAAGATTCTGAACGATGAAATCTTGACCTCAATTGGTTTTCAAGTCTATACAATTGGAAAAGGATGTGTAGGTGTTCATTTCCTGCCGATGAAGTCATTGATGATGATATAAACATTAACATAGATGATAGACCAACAATGGATACAGTAGTTGTAGATAAAGGTGATTCTTCTGTAAGTGAAAGTGATTCAACTATTGGAGCTATTGATACCTTTGCTCAGATCACTAGAGTATGACAAAAGTCATTTACTTCAAAAGACATTAAAGATACTAAAGTATCAAAGACTACAAACCAAGGAGTAAATAATTTGAAAGAGAGTTTTTGTCAGTCTGAGAAAATTTATGACGATCAAAGTACTACAGTATCAGTATGGAATACCTGTATTACAGGTTGTAATATCAGACGTTGGCATAAAACGAGGAACAAGTCACATAAAACCACTAAATATTAAAATTCCACCATGCATCACTTAAACACCTATAAGTTATCACATATGAAGGTAAAGTAATGACGAAAAGAGAAATTATTAAAGAAAAAAAAAAGAAGAAGATCAAAGAAAGATAAAAGAATTATGAGAAAAAACGCAAATAATTGAAGAATGGAAAGGACTTGAGAAAATAGTAGAAGAAGAAATTTAAATGAACAGAAACAATATTAACCATATGATAAAATAATATTTGGCCGATATGGAAAGCTTTTGCAAAAGAAATGATTTAACTATGACATTAGTTAAAAAAGAACCAGTCGATGAATGTGATGATCACATTTTAGAAGAAAAATCAAAAAACGAACAAGACATTAAAAATGAATATAGCGAATGTAATGAATTTGGCAAAAATAATCCAATATACAATGAATATGAAGATAATGAACAAAATGAAATCAATGAAAATTGAAAACAATGTATGTTGTTATGAACTTAACAATGAATCTGAACGCGGGAATAAGGAATTGTATGGGATCTGAAGAAAAAACCTCTAAAGAAATAGAAACAAATTCAACTGAAGTTAAGATGATCACTAAGACAAGGGGACTAAAGGTTGAAGAAAAGCTTAAAGAATCATATGTTTATAGCTCTATTGTTCTTATTATCATATAATGTGTTTGAAGTGGTATTCCGTTTACTATTATCATCTGTATTCATAGTTTTTTTTTTTATATTCATAACTAATAATTGATGGATTCTTGATACTAGTTGAACTTGCACTATATGATGGGGGATCCGAGAGATTTTATTTGTGGCCGTAGTTTAGTAGACACAGGGAGGGTCCCTGTACTTGAACAGATTCATTATTAAGTTCATAACAACATACATTGTTTTCAATTTTCATTGATTTCATTTTGTTCATTATCTTCATATTGATTGTATATTGGATTATTTTTGCCAAATTCATTACATTCGCTAGATTCATTTTTTATATAAATGTCTTGTTCATTTTTTTCTTCTAAAATGTGATCATCATATTCATCAATTGGTTCTTTTTTAAATAAAGTCATAGTTAAACCATTTCTTTTACAAAAGCTCTCCATATCGGCCAAATATTTGTTTATCATTTGGTTCATATTGTTTCTGTTCATTTAAATTTCTTCTTCTACTATTTTCTCAAGTCCTTTCCGTTCTTCAATTATTTTCATTTTTTCTCATAATTCTTTTATCTTTCTTTGATCTTCTTCTTTTTTTTTTCTCTAATAATCTTCTCTTTTCATCATTACTTTACCTTCATATGTAATCGGTATTAAAGTGCATGGTGGGATTTTAATATTTAGTGGTTTTATATGACTTGTTCCTCGTTTTATGCCAACGTCTGATATTACACCCTGTAATACAGGTATCCCAGAGACTGATACTGCAGTACTTTGATCGTCATACATTTTCTCAGACTGACAAAAACAAATGTTATCATACAAAATATAATCCATTTAATTTTATAAACAATTTTTTTTATCCATTTATATAAGAAATACTAAAATGGCCATATACTTAAAATATGAAATTAATTATTATAAGTAATAAGCATTTATAAATTGTAATATTATAACTAGGTATATAAAATTGCTACATATCTTAATTATTTTTAATTATAGGTATATAAACTCATAGGTACTTTTAATTGTTATTTAGAGAAAAGTTACTTTTTACAAGTAAAGTTTAAATGTAAAAAAAAACAAAAAGGTATTATGAATATTTCATTTGGTAGGTAGGTACTTATAAAATTAAACTTTCTAACTAACATTTATACCTACAAAATATTTAATTTATATTTATGTTATTATTACTGTTATAATGTATGCCACTACGCTTAAAGTTATGTAATTTTGATGTATTATTTTTTTTCAAGCCGATTTTTGTGTACTTATTATATAAAACTTTAAATGTTGCATAAAAATGATAACCTAATGTGAATACCAAATAATAAATATTTTTTTTTAGCTTATGAAAATATTTCAGTTTTATATTATTTGCACAAATTATTCTATAAAAAGTTTTATCTATTGTTATATTTTAATTCTAACTAAATATAATGCATATTGGATTTTGAGGGCTTGAATGAATTTGCTTTCAAATGTTGATGAATTTGGTTCTTGTAAGTTGTAAGTGCTATGGCATCACTGTCCCAAGGTTTTTTTAGGTCAACAATATTTGTATCAACCTGGGGATGACTAATTTCAGGAATTTCTGGAGTTTCACTTAAATATTCTTTTGCCTCCACCACCAGGGCCGTATTTAGGGATTTTTCGCCCCCGGGCACAATATTTATGGCGCCCCTTTCCAACACATTTTTTGTAATACCATAGAAGTGGTGGCTAAATTTTATTTTTTTTTGGGAGGGGGGCATAACATTAATTCATTTTTTATGTTTCCCTTTCTCATTGAAATTTAATTTGCAGTTAATTTTTAGCAATTTTAACTAGGTACCTATGCATTCCAATATTAGATTTTTAACAGTAGGTAAACTATACAAAAAAAACATGAGTAACTAGTTTATAACTTAGGTCTTAGGTACTATCTACCTAGAATCTTCCACGATTCAAATAATAAAGAATGATATACAATTAATAATATGTACTATAATATAGTAATATAATAATATTTATTGTTTATTTTACAATTTTTTTCTTGATTGAATATCACCAAAATGATCTATAATATCTTCATATTTAATTTGTTTTGTTATTTCTGATTCAATATTTAATATTGCATGTAAGTTTAATCTCTCTTTAGAAATTGTTGACCTTAGGTAGTTTTTATTCAGTGTAAAGTTGAAAATGACCGTTCAGCGGTACAGTTTGAACAGGGAGTAGGTACATAAAAACATGTGTAAGCAAAGCAATACTAACACACGGGTAAATGTCTTCTGATCCTTCTATTTTTAACATAGAACTCATATCAATTATAGTTGATGGAGAATTTTTCATACTTTGAATATAACTTTGAAAATGAACACATTCGTTAATAAATGTTACATCCAAATCTTTTGTATACATTGAGTACAAATGTTCAGCTAAAACACGTACTTCTGATGGTTTTATCTTTGTGAGTCTTAAAAAAAAAACTATACTTTGTTATGACATTATCGTAAGCTAACTTTCGACTTGTTGATTCTTCTATTATAGAATCACAAATCACTAAATATGTGTTTACTTTGAATTCCAAACTATGGTTTCTACTTTCTCACTATGCTCTTCTCTTTTAAGTTTAAACATGGTATTTATTTCGTTTGTTTTTCTTATAACTTCATTAGGTTTTTCCTTCTTTTTTTTTGCCTCCTTACCATTGCATACACCACTAGCTTTGACTCTTTTTAGCTTCATTAAAGTATAATTTCAACTAAAAAATTGTTATGACACAATTAAACTTATCTAGTCTTACTTATTAATTATTATTTACCTACTTGCCACTATGACTAAATTACTGCATTCAATTCATATGTATAATGTATAAATATATAAACATATAAATATATCCAATAATTGTATGCAGATTTGCAATGTAATTTAAGTGAACCTAAACTGTGTAATTGTAGTGTACCTACCTTAACTGGCACAACCTTACAATATCAATTATAAAGTTGAATGTTTTAATATTATTACAAATAATATAATTATAATATTAATATTTTATTTTATATAACAATTCAAAAAAAAGTAAACTCTTATTTCTATTATATTAGTTCACTTATTGAGATTTAAATTATGTAGGTACGGTCGTAGGGAGTACGTAGTCACTGACATTTAGAGTTTAGCAAGTTGTATAATATGAAATGACATAAATGTATTTTAGTAGCCAGTAAATAAGTACAATCGATAATCCTGATTTGCCAATACGGGCCAACGCAGTTATACTATACGTCTAGTTTTACAGTTTACTAGTAAAAATAAACCCACTAATATTTAATAATGTTAGGTTCCTACCTAGTACCTACTTAGTTAATAACGTTTATTTCTCTTTATTTAAAATGATAAAATATAGGTAAAAAAAATGTATGCATATGTGAATTTAAAAAATAAATAATAATAAAATATATCATTTTTTAGAAATCTTTCTGACTTTCTCTTTACGAAAAAAATTAATTTTTTGTTTATTTTATATGAGATAATTTTGCCGCCCCCGGGCAATTACCCACCGGTGCCCCCCCTTAAAACCGGCCCTGGTTACATAACTTATAAATTATATTATTAATATTATTTATCATGGTTTTTACTTGATCCAAATATGTCGGAGTAATATAATATAATATCGTAGTAATATATGTTCGAAGTAATTGATATCGGAGCAGTATTATGGTTGACAATAAAAAAATTTTTTCGGAGTAATACAAGTTCATAGTAGTATATAGTCGTAGCACTGGTGTTATCCCACAGTAGGTACTGTAGCTAGGTACTAGTTTTTATCATACCTTGTAATGTATACTTATTACTTCTTGAAAACATTATATAATTATAAATGACAATTTAATAGAATATTTTGTATTTTCGGACTTAGTCGTCCGAGTGAGTCTATAGTTATATTACCCTGCTAATTTAAATAAATATGTACACAGCCATAAATACACATAATATTATGATATTATTTATTCACAAATTGAGTTTACTGTAATTATAATTTTACTCATTACGACGAATAAGCTTTTTAAATATTGAAATAATTATTATAAAATTAGTATTTATATTATTATCATGTGAATTATTATAATGTGTAAAACCACATATTATGTAATGTTTATACATTCAAACAGTGTACAGCGATACATAATTTAATACAATTAATATACAATACTTACATAATATTATAGATGTACAAAATGGTATACTGATTCCGAATACGTACAAATATGCTATTTAATATTTTATTACACATCACAACTCATACGATCAACTGCGAAAAAGTTTTACTTCCCCTGCACGAAGGTACTACAAACACACTCTATTTTTTTTTATTTATTATTTTATTTATTTATTTATAAAAAATAATGGGCCCCACTGACTGGTTTTAAAAAAAACATTACAAATATTGTAACTATGGGCAGCGTATAACTGTTTAGTTCTTATTAAATCAGTAAATATATTTTTACATCATTCTCTGATTATAACACAGTGAAAAATTGTTTTATATATTGAAATTATCCTATATCAGATTATCATTATGTCTTATATCACAGAAGTGAATAATTCGTCCGAAGCCCAAATGCAGTCCGCTGCTGAAATAATGAAACAGGTGTTGGACGATCTCCGGCAAAATCACCCTAAAAGGTTTCAAGACAATGATCTCACCAGTTTAAAACTGCATCGACGATATAAATCGTTACCATGCCAATTCCCGCTAGCGAAGACGTTCAGATCGATTTGCAGTCCTCAACCGCTTTGATGATGCAAGTTTTCAGTGATCTACGTGAAAATCGTCAGATAGCGGTCGACGTTAGTAGTGTCAAGATTTCAAAGGCTCAAAGATTATGTAAATCGATGCCCGATATGGCATTCCTAACAAATGCCGAAGTTGATGCACCTGATGCTATGCCGTCCACGGAAATTACCGTTTCACTGGATTCATTGTATGCGGAAACAACTAACAGTGCAGTAATGACACCCGTCGCTGCAGAACTTATCGACATCGACACGATGTTGTCCGTCTCGACAACTTTCCCACTGGTTAAGCCGGTCGAATCCGACCCTCAACGGTTTAGTCCCATACTGAAAGTGGCACCACAGTCAATTGGGGATGCAGAGTCGAAAAATGGTTTGACAAAACCTTTGGACCTGGAGACCGCCAGTTTACAGGAAATTGTATCCCTTTGCGGTCGTGGAGATGCTGCAGAAATGGAAACTACAGTAACAGCCGCCAGACCTAAACGTCGCTCACTATGGAGCCGAGTGAAGAGATTCGCTCGGCGAATGGTTTGCTGTGGTGCTAACAGCGACATACACCATTAGGTGTATAGGTAGTTTTTTGAGGAGTGTTTGAGCGCCGGTTTGAAAGTTTGTTTAGTTTGCCCCCTCACTTATCACGTTTATGGCGCCAGTGTAGTAAGTCACCGTGCACGATCATCCCGAGTTCGCTCCAAGAGTTTGTGTCCGGCTAT